TAATGTTATTAATATTTTGAATGAGATATTTATTTTTATATATTTTTTATATAATTATATATTTATATTTTTTTATATTTTATCTATAGTTTCATTTTTAACCCTTATTAAAATCAGTATATTTTTGTTATTATTATTATTATTATTCATTCATTCATTTTCCTTCGGGTTTAGTTCCTTTATTTATCAGGGTCGCCACAGCGGAATGAACCGCCAACTTATTCAGCATATGTTTTACGCAGCGGATGCCCTTCCGGCTGCAATCCAGTGTTGGGAAACATTCATACACACTTATCCACACACACATTTATACACTACGGCCAATTTAGTTAATCCAATTCACCTATAGCACTTGTACCTGCAAACTCCACACAGAAACGCCAACTGGCCCAGCCGGGACTCCAACCAGAAACCTTCTTGCTGTGAGGCGACGATGCTAACCACTGTGCCACCGTGCCGCCCTTTATTATTATAATTATTATTATTATTATTATTATTATTATTTTATAAATGGGTTTTAGATGCTTATTTTACAAAACAACCATACCTAAATAAATTTTAAAACCATTTTGGATCTGATCAGCAACTTATATAATTGTAAAATAATTAAAAGTGGAAAATATAACATGCATCTAAAATGAAACCAATACAAAATGAGTAAATTAAATGAGTAGATTGCCTTTAATATTAATAATAATGAATCATAATAAAAATCTAAAAAATAAATAGAAAATAAATGTAAAAATGTAATAAATTAATTACATTTTATTTTATGTAAATTTAATGTAAATTTAATTTAGTATTTTATTTGAGTTATTTCAGTCCAAAATAAAATAAAAAAATTAATTATTTAAAAAAATAAATAAAAAAAACAAACAAATAATTAAATTAATAATAATAATAATAATAATAATGTGAGACGAACAAACTCTTCAGTATGAATCTCGGGTGTGTATCTCGTCCTGTTTCTGCAGACAGTGTCATAAAAATGTCTTATAATTATCTTTAGTGTAGAGCTTCTTCAATCTCCAGACATCTTTGCATGACTTTGATCCCTCTTTCAGTTATGAGCATCAGATAAATGATAAACCAGCGCAGATCATCCCGTCTGCTTTTTCCATCAGTCTGATTTTATTTTACAGCCGACAACACTGAATCATGTTGTGGAGTTTTTATCTGTCTTCAGTAATCTGCGAGAAACTCAAGGACTCTATTATTCATGTTCATGCTCTCATTGATGTTATCCTGCAAATGACAGAACCATAATTCTCCTATTATTGTGTTTAATGTCTGGCCAGAATGATCCGTCATAATTAAATGTTGTGTACTGTGTGCTGGACTGGGCGGCAGCCTGTTTAAGTCAACATGAAATCAACAAGGACAATATTCATCTTCTTAATAATAGTACATGTTCTTGGTCTGACTATGCATGATTTATAGATGATGACAGCGGACATCTGCGGACATTTATTGCATTTTTTTTGTGCAGAAGTTTGTAAAAAAAATGAATGAATGATTTTGAGAGTAGTGGGAGGCTCAGTGGCTTAGTGGTTAGCACAGTCACCTCGCAGCAAGAAGGTTACTGGTTTGAATCCTGGCTGGGCCAGTGTGAAATTTGCATGTTGTCCCCGTGCTCCGGGTGCTCCAGTTTCCCCCACAGTCCAAACACATGCGCTATAGAGGAATTGGGCGGGCTAAATTAAATAAGCTGGAATAGATGGCGGTTCATTCCACTGTGGCAAACTATAATAGGATATAATAAGGTTATATATAGGATATAAATATAAAGGATTAAAATATTACAAAACATTATTTTCTAGCCTATAAATATAGAAACCACCGCCTCCGTGTCTTCTTCATTTTGGGAGGCTTTTTCTGTTCATTCATAACAATTTGCTTTTGTATAATGTTATTATTATTAGCAGTATTATTATATGCATATTTATATTTGTTAAAGCAAAAGTACTAAGCAAAATTCTTTCTACTTTATAATTAATGTTCTCATCTCGCAATACAACTTTACAATGAGTATAATTGTTTGTTTTCAATACTTTATTATTACTATAATTTTCCAATTTCCATATCTGCAATGCCTGTATTTTGGATTATTTATTTTTTTGTCGTCCACTTAGAATCCAACATGAAAATCATTTTTGTTTGTTATTGGCATTGATTGTTTTGAAACTGAAATGGCACTTACATGCCCGTGTTTTTATGTCGGTAATAAATACAGCGTTTCGTGATTAATTACAAAAAAAAAGTGTGATTAATTAGTTAATTTTTTAATCAATTGACAGCCCTAATAATTGTATAAATAACATAAATAATTCCTGTTAACCTACAGCAGGGGTGTCCAAACTTTTTGGGCCGAGGGCCAGATGCAAAAAAAAAAAAAAAAACGTTGTCACGGGCCAAATTTTACATACATCACACAGACAAGCATATATATATATATATATATATATATA